CTGCTGCTGCTGCTGCTGCTGCTGCTGCTGCTGCTGCTGCTGCTGCTGCTGCTGCTGCTGGGCTGCGGGTGTTGCTGCAGCGGGTGTTTCTGGGCGCAGCGGCCACGCGTAAACGCCAAACCCCAAACCCTAAACCCTAAACCCTAAACCCTTGTGTGCTGCAGGAGTGCCCCTCGACGGAGGCCTTCGAAAGGGCCCTTTTGTTCTTTCCAACTGCAGCAGCTTTTTGGCTTCGAATGGCAGAGTTTGAAATCTCCAACTTCAACATTTCGAGGGCCCAGGGGGTTTACGCGCGCGGGCTCACCGTCTGCCCCCAGCTCGGTAAACCCTAAACCCTAAACCCTAAACCCTAAACCCTAACCCGGCGAGCGCGACAAGGCCCGCGCCGCCCGCCGACGCGGCAGGCCGCCGGCTGCCAGGCACGGCGCTTGCGGCGCAGCAGGGCTTGGGATTTTGGAGTTAGGGGCTAGGGTTTAGGGTTTAGGGTTTAGGGTTTAGGGTTTAGGGTTTTGCACAGAGCTGTGGACGTCCTACGTGAAGTTCGTGTACTGCACGGGGACTGTCGACGAATTCCGCAAGGCGTTGATGCGCGCCGTAGACAAGGTAAACCCTAAACCCTAAACCCTAGGGCGCCCCAAACCCTAGGCGCCGGCGCTCCAAACCCTAAACCCTAAACCCTAAACCCTTGTTTGCGCTGCAGCTGCGTTGGGACCCCCGCGCAGCCCCCCTCTGGCGAGAACTGCTGCTGCTGGACATTCGAATTTATAATTCCTCTTTGTTAAGCCGGGGGCAGGTGCAGGGCCTTCTATCGGACTTCACCGGCAGAGTAAACCCTAAACCCTAAACCCTAAACCCTAAACCCTAAACCCTAGTTGCACCCGGCGCCCGCCCGCAGTGCTTGCAGCCCAACGCACTGCTCTGGCTCTTCTCGGCCCGCCGTCTAGGCCCAGGGTCCCACTTTCAGGGTCCAGGGTTTAGGGTTTAGGGTTTAGGGTTTAGGGTTTAGGGTTTAGGGTTTAGGGTTTGGGGCGCCGCGCAGGCCACAGGCCCTCTGATTCCCACAGACTTGGAGCAGAAAGTGTTTAGGACTCCTTTGTCTCCAGGAGGCAGCAGTTTGGTGGACCAGTACGGGGACGTCAACGTGCTGCGGACAAACTACCAAACGGTAGGGTTTAGGGTTTAGGGTTTAGGGTTTAGGGTTTAGGGTTTAGGGTTTGGGGTTTGGGGGCTGGGGTTCGGGGTTTCGGGGGCTCCCTGCGGCAGTGGCGTGTTCGTGCGAGGGTTTTGCTTCTCCCGCCGTTGACTGCCGCTGCCTTGGAACCCGACCCAGGGTTTAGGGTTTAGGGTTTAGGGTTTAGGGTTTAGGGTTTAGGGTTTGCGCTGCAGTGCCTGTCGCGGGCAGTGGCGGGTTTGGAGGCAGTGTGGGTTTCTTACTGCGCTTTCGAAAGAGCTGTCAATTCCAATTCTCAGTTGTCAACAAAATTAATTTCCTTTTGGGAACAGAGGTTTACTTACGCCAGGAAGGCCCACGTCGTAGGGTTTAGGGTTTAGGGTTTAGGGTTTAGGGTTTAGGGTTTGGGGTTTAGGGTTTGGGGTTTAGGGTTTGGGGACTAGGGTTTAGGGCTTAGGGGCAGCGGGAAGCAGCATCGTGGTACAGGCACCAGTGCTGTTGCTTTGGCAAACAGGGCCTGCGGGTCAGGGCTAGGGTTTAGGGTTTAGGGTTTAGGGTTTGGGGTTTAGGGTTTGGGGTTTTGGGTTGCAGGAGTTGACGCGCCTCACGCGAGACATTGACTGGTCGTGCGTTGCGCTGCCCCTCTCCGTCCCTGATAAGTCGCGGCAGGTAGGGTTTAGGGTTTAGGGTTTAGGGTTTAGGGTTTAGGGTTTGTGGTGCTTGTAGGCCGCCAGAGCCTCTTTAGGGTTTAGGGTTTGTCGCGCAGCGACGGGCCCGTCTCTCCCCAGCGTTTGCCCGCCCCGTGGGCGGGCAGTGCACAGCTAGGGTTTAGGGTTTAGGGTTTAGGGTTTAGGGTTTAAGGTTTAGGGTTTGTGTGCAGGCGCACGCGTGCGCGTGGCGGGGGGTTTTGGCGTACGAGTTGACAAACCCTTTGCGGCTGCATGCAGCAGCTTTTGCTGCTAGGGTTTCTGCTGCTTATCAAACTTGTTTGCTTTCTTGTGCTTTTCTTTCCGACGTTTGGTTCGGCTTTTTCCAGTTCCTGCTCGCCCAGAAAATGCCCGCAAAGGGTAGGGTTTAGGGTTTAGGGTTTAGGGTTTAGGGTTTAGGGTTTGGGGTTTGGGGTGTGGGGTTGGGGGTTTGGGGTTTAGGGTTTGGGGTTTAGGGTTTAGGGTTTGGGGTTTGGGGTTTGGGGTTTCCCCTGGAGGGACGCAGCAGCGCGAGCGCGGGCTAGGGCCTGGGGTTTAGGGTTTGGCGCGGAAGCAGCGAACAGCGGGGGGGATGGCTTCGTCTAGGGTTTAGGGTTTAGGGTTTAGGGTTTAGGGTTTAGGG